CACCTGGAGACTTTGGGACTTCGACTTGGACGAGCCGAGCGTAGAGTACCCTTTTCGCGCGCTGGTCGGTTCGCTGTTGTGGATTGCCTTGTTGACTAGGCCGGATATCGCGAATTCGTTTAGAGCAGTGGCGAGGTACTGTAGTGCACCGAAGTTGATCCACTGGAAGGCTGCACTTAGCATTTTAGGGTACGCAGTTAGGACTAGTTCTTTGGGGATTTCTTTTCAGAGGGGCACGGTTTCTGGATTTTCTTTGATTGCGTTTGTCGACGCGGACTACACTTCCCGTGCGGCAGACCGTAGATCGGTTTCGGGAGGGGTAGTGATGTGTGCAGGAGGGGCGATTGCATGGTTCTCCAAGACTCAAAAATGTGTGACTTTGTCTACCACGCAGGCAGAATACGTGGCGATGGCGGACATGGGGAAGGAGATTTTGTTTTTGAGGCAGGTTTGGCGTTTCATGTGCCTAAGGAGTTGCGGCCATGCATTCCACTTAATGAAGATAACGCAGGGGCTATCCAGATCGCAAAACACCCGATCTCGAATTCCAACTCGAAGCACATCGACGTGCGGCATCACTTCCTCAGGCAGCTCGTAGATGAGAAGGAGGTAGAGATCATCCATGTAGCGTCGAAGTATCAGCATGCCGACTTCCTCACGAAGGCGCTACCTGAGAGAGAGTTTGTTTCCCACCGGGGCTACGTGATGAGCTTGAAGTGAATAGTCCGGGAGTTTTTTTTCGTTTTTGGGTCTTGTGCCTTTTGTTTTTTTTTTCGATTTTTTTGTTGATTTGTTTGATTTCCTGAGAAATCGAGTTCAAGATTGACAGGTGGAAATTGTCGCAAGTATTTCTGGTTTAATGGTTGGCAATAATAATGCAAACCGATAGGAATTCTAACGAATGTTTCCGGTTTAAGGGTTTTAGTGTTGTGACAAGAATGCAGTTAGGGATGAAGGGAACGTCTTGCACTAAATTTCATTTCGGTCAGGTATGTGGTATGTATGGGATGATAGTAAGGATAGTATATTAAAGTCCGGGTGTGGTCTTGTCAATGCAGCGAGAAGGGGGGCTGTTAGACGTACTCACAGCATCGACAGATTATTGCAAGCAAGAAATTTCCGAGCAGATGGAGCGGGGAGTTTGGGGGTTCAGCAGTTGCTTTGGATTCGATTTGATGGTATCAACTTTGCCGTATATTACAGGATTGAGGGTGGGGGTATGTGTGTGTCTACAACGGATATATATGGTGATTGTGCGTTGTGGTTTCTCACTTGTTTTTTGTTTCCTCTTTTTTCTCCTTCCTGTGTGCAATCAAGTCCTTTTCCCCCGGCTATCACGCCACGGCTACCACGCCACCCGGCTACCACGCCTTCTGTACTTCCACGTCCTTGCATACGCCTTCGCACCACGGCTATCACGCCAACAGGCTTTCATACCACATTCAGAGATACCGTACCCGAGCTATCACGCTCTATCCCAAAGCAGCAGGCTATCACGCCCATCGTAGTTCCTCCATTGTACCGTTGGCGGCGACCACACCGCTGGCTCATTTATTTCCCAACTACGGGACCCCGCGCGCCAGGGCACCGACGCACAAAGCTACGAAGTACTCAACAAGACCTTCAATATTGCGCCGCTTCTTGAAAGAGCCCGCCCCCAACTTGCCAAGAAATGGCAAGAGGCGTCTGGACCCGAGTTTCATTTTTTTTGGCTCTCGCTCTCATTTTCATGCTCCGCTCTCAATTTCACCAATATGCTGTTACAGGCGCCCAAGCTGTCTTCATCTGACGGTCACAGACTTGGAAACACGCCTTCGCAGTGCCGGGGATAAAACCCACATAGCAGAATAGAGTCGCCCCGGTCTAGTGGTATCCTCGTAATCCGCTAGTCGCACAGGTCGTGAGTTCGAATCCACATGGGATGAAAAGATTTCGAAATTTGCGGGTGAAAGCGAAATAAATATAGCTACTAGATCGGGAGGTGGAATAGTTTTTTGTGGTGGTTGCACAAAAGTACCTGCAGTAGGCTCGTGCGTATGTTACAGAAGAACGGGGGGCGGTCCATCATCACCAGCTAGAGAGGGGGGTGGTATCCATCATAAGTGCGTGTCTTGCCAGTAGCAGCAGCAGTGTGTGTAGCACGGCGGCAGTGCGTCGTGGTTTCTTCTTGCGTGCGTGTAGCGTGTAGTTTGTTGCCCAGAGAAAAACAAAAATGACGACGCCTCCTGGGGACGCGTCCATGTGACATATATATTTGCACAAACGGTGTGCTATCTCGAGACACCGACCACGGATTGCAAAGGTAGCGGTTGGGACAGCTCGGGCAAAATTGTACTTGTTGTGCGCAAGTTTTAGTTTGCAATTTGGTGCCGAGATGGTGAAATGGGCTCGAGTCTGCTGGGTATTTAGGGCGCGCAGACACCGGACAGACAGCCATGGAGTAATTTTCACGCCCCTAGGCATGAAAATTATTCTTTTTCTTGTGCGCACATACTCAACCACGATCCCTCTAAACAGCTTTTTTTTTGTAAAAAACAAAACAAAAAGCGCACCCCTACCGGGCCACACTTTTTCAAAAAAAAAACTATTAAAAAAGCTCTCGTGAGTACCAACTTCGACGTTAGCACCGTTGACGAGGGAAAGGGACGGCTGGACCCTTCTCGCGATAAAAATAAAATTCAGCACGCACCGCAGGAGGGAGGTGGGGCATGAAAATAAATAAAAAGAAGAATAAAAGCCCTGGTGTTTACCCCCTCCTGTGTGACCTGGATGGTTGTAGTTGTACGAAAAATACACTGAAAAGTGTAGGCTAGTAATCTACCTACGCTGAAAAGTGTAGTCTCACCACGAAAAATGGGGGGACTGTCGCCATAATAAATAGGACAAAAACACACACACACACAGAGTCGTTCATGCACAACACAAATAAATACCCCAACATGTCCTCTCAAGAAATTCTCGTCCTCTCGATGTCCTCTCAAAACAACGTCAATGTCCTCTCGAATCAATAATCTTCACGAGTACTTGCATACATACAACATCAAAGTAATTTCTAGCTGCCATACATTTCCTTCAAGCAGCGAATTCTTTTCCTCCTACACACATACATCTCCTGAGCTTCGGTTCCAACACAAATTATTCTCGAAGGAGCATCATGCTGTTCTTGATGAACTTCACAGCACCCAAACTCTTGGTAAACATGTCAGCTTTCTGCATTGCTGACTCGATCTTCTCGACCTTTACGACTCCATCCTGGATCAGCGACCTGATGTGGTGATACTTGATATCAATATGCTTGGTCCTGGGCGTGATCTTGGAGCTAAGGCTAGTCAATATAGCCCCGGAGTTATCCTCGTAAATCACCGTTGCCTCCTTCTGGGCACGGTTTATAGTCTTCAGTGGGCGCGGAAGGGGATGATGAGCTGGCAAGCCTTGGACAACGCCACGTACGTACTCCGGCTCCACCGATGAGACGGCCACCAGCGGTTGTTTGGCCGCCCTCCAGTCCACCGTCCACCGGCTAGGAATAGAACGATCCCCGTAGTCGACTTCCGGTCGTCTAGGTCACCTCCGAAGTCCAAGTCAGCGTACGCCGTGGAGGTGGTCCCCTTTAGGCACCGAAGCAGCCGCTTCAGCTTGGCCATCGCCTTCGGTCCCGGTTTCGCCATGCTCCTGGTAAGCACCAACACTGAGTATGCAACGTCCGGCCTCGTTCCCCTGCAAGGTGAAGAACCGAACCCGTAGCCGACCGGAAGTTCTTGGTGTCCTCTGGCGAAAGCACTTCATCCTCCGCCGTAGTGATCGGCTCAACCTCAGCCGGCGTCTTCGTCGGGTGTGCGTCAGCCATGGAACTTAGCCAGCACGCCTTGGTGTACGCCTCTTGCGTCAGGAGAAGTGTTCCGGCGTTGAGATGGCGCTGAATGGCCATTCCCAGAAGGAACTTCGCATCCCCCAGATCCACTGTTTGGAACCTTTCCTTCAGCTGCGAAATTACTGTCGTCACCAGATCTTCATTGGTGCCGGTGAACAGGATGTCGTCCACGAATACAAGCAGATGTACTTATCCGTCTTGCAGTGAGAAAAAGGCACGGGTCTGCGGTGCTCTGCACGAAGCCAAGCTCCAGCAGAAAGACATGAAAAGTACCGTTCCATCCCTTCGGGGACAGGCGCAGGCCATAGAGCCACGCCTTGAGAAGCCAGACTTGTTTAGCTTGACCCAGCGAACATGGGAATCCCTTCGGCGGTATGACGTATGTAGGCTCCGCCTCTTCGGGGATTATGGCATGTAGAAATGCCGTCTTGATACCCAATTGCTTCAGGACGAGATGGTTGTTGGCAGCAACTGCTAACACCATGTGCACGGATTCCATGGACGCCACCGGCGCCGCCTTTTAGGCCCCCGTATCAGCTTCGTAAAAGCCTTGCACCACTACACGAGTTTTCGCGCGAACCGCCACGCCGTCCTGATTGTTCTTCCACACGAAAGGGAACCTAAGTAGCGGCGGGTATTAAGAACCACTTAAGCCACCCCCCGCGCCAAGAGCTCGTTCTTGGTCAGTTTAACGAGATAGGATGATGTCTAGGTACCGAAGGATAGCTAACATGATCAACTACCTGTCAAAGAAAAAAAAAAAAAAAACGTTATTGGTAACGAGTTAAGGCTGTAGCTATTTTGCCTAAGTTGAAGTTGGAAGTACCACAGAATCCGGTTGGAGGGTATTAAGAACCACTTTTACGAGGTGCTGATTGCGCGGGTTAAAATGCGTTTCAAGAGCCAAGATTTTGCACACAATCGTCCAATACGATGAACACAAAGAAAAACGACGTTTTTTTTTTTTTAAAGGCTCCCGGGGATGAATACGAGATATCCCCGGGTTTTCGGCGCAGATGCTTGGGACCGTTTTCCGCCGCCGTTTGCCTGTACGGCGTGATAATCCGTCAAAAACGAATCCAAACAACAGTTTTGAAGCATAGTTGGCTTCATCCTGTCATTTTCTGACCTCGAAAAAAAAAATTATGCCGAAAGGAGTTGTGGTCAAAAAATAATGCTTGTTCAAAAATTGGTATATTTTCGTTGTTTTGCTTGCCGCCATGATACGAATCAGCGCCGTGCACCGACTACTGCTGTATCGCCTGTTCTGGGCTTTTCATACACCCCCAGGACATGAAATTTTGGGGGAACACCCAAATAGGAGTTAGAAGCATTAATCGAAAAAAATAAATAAGTTTGGAGGCCACCCGGGGACGGAATGACGATATCCCCGGGTTTCGGGCAAAACCAGCCGCCGACCCCCCCCCCGTCCCCCCCAACCGTACTGGCACGCTCTCTTGTCACCGTAGCAAGTCTACGAACAACATATCACATTTTATGGCGTGCAAGCCGAATCCGCGTGAAATTTGACGTCATTTGGAGTACAACTCACGACGTTCTCTACGGTTAATACGGGTACATTTTGCCGAATCGGCTTACCGGTAGGGCAAGAATTCACGCCGATCATAACGACAAATCAAGCCAACGTTTTATTTCCACGACCAGCCTTTTGGAGGGAACGTCCAAATATGATTGAGAAACACTCATGCGCAACGAAAAAAAAAATGGAAGACACCCGGGGACAACACCGGGGGACGGAAACCCGACATCCCCGGGTTTCGGGAAAAATCCGCCACCCCCTCCCCCCACGGTACTGGCACGCTCGAAGCCACCGTTGACTACCTTACCGGCAACAAACATTGTGCAATAGGGTACGCATCGACTCCACGTAAAAATTGCAGAAGTTTGGAGCATGATGCGGCTACACGTCAACAATGGGTGTCGGCGTCCGTTGTCGTCCAACCCGGGACACGGAGGGTGCCGGTTGGCGTTCGGGCAAAGCCGTTTCTTCTGCTCCAGCCACTCCTCGTCCCCGGCCAGGTGAGGCCCCTCTTCCACCCCCTCCTCGGCCGCGTCCACCCGCCGCGGCCCCGCGGCCCCTCCCTTGTCCGCTCGCCTCACGCCCCCCCCCTCTCCCGCGCCCCCCTCGCCCCCCTCGCCCCTCTGGCTCCCCTCGCCCGCCGCGCCCCCCTCGCCCCCCTCGCCCCGCTGGCTCTCCTCGCCCCCCTCGCCCTGCTCCCTGCCCGGCATTGACATTGCGCCCTCCCGTCCCCGCCCCCGTTCCCCCGCCCCGCTCGCCCCCCCTCCCTCCTCCCTGCCGCCCTCGCCCGCGTCCTCGACCGCCCGTGTTCGCCTGCCGTGCCAGCTCCGCCGCCGCCCTCTCTGCCCTCTTCCTTTCGCGCTCCCTGGCCCTCTCCGCTTTTGCGTCACTCTCCTCCTTGTCTGCGCGCTCCTTCTCGGCAACCTTTGCCAGGAAGTCTTCCGCGGTGATGTTGGCGCCGTCGGGAAGGCCCAAAGAGCCCCGCGAGGTCGCCATTTTCTTGGCGCGCTTCCTCTGACGGATGACGCTGCCGAGCATCACCGTGCTCACCCTGAGTCCCGTGGTTAGATGTCCAGCCGCCTTCAGCTGCCTCATGCCCCTCTCTCCGATGTCCTGCTCGAGCTGCTCGTTGCCTACAGCGATGGGGACGTCTTTTAGGGGAGGGCGCCCGGTCTGGTTCTCGTTCCTCTTTGCTGTGCCCCGAAGCCGGCTCATCGCTCGCTCCATGTTCACAGGCCACAGGCCCGCCCCGGCGAAGGATGATCTATTTCGCTCCGATGTGAAAGTCGCCCCCCAAGCCGCCGCGATAACGCCGGGGACGTCACGCTTCTGTGGAAGCAACCCGCCGGACACGCGGTAGTAGTCTGACAGCACCTTAGTCACCTCCCTCTTGAAGGCTCCGAAGGCGACGACGTCCAAGGGCTGGGTGATGTGCGACGTGTGGGACGGCAGCTGAAAGAGGACGATGTTGAGTTCCATGGCCAGTTGGATGACCTCGACGCTCACGTGCGATGCGTGTCCATCAAGCAGGAGGATGTGCGGCTTTCCGTCGATCAAGCCTCGTTTGCAAAGCTGCTGGTGGAAGTCTTTAAGGTACTTGATGAACACGTTACCCTGCATGAACGAAGAATCCGTACAAGTGTACCTCGCGTCCGGCGGCCCGTTCTTCTCCGCAAACCAGTCAGGCTGGAGTCGCTGCCCTTTGAAGATGATAGTCGGCGCCCACGTGGAGCCATCAGCGCTGATGGTGGTGACCAAGGTGGTGTTCTCTCGCGAGTTGGCCCGAACCGACTCGACCACCTTCTGCCCTGCCTGACAGTAGGCCTTCATGGTCTTGTTGCCTTGCGGAGTGGTACCTAAATCAATCGCGAGAGAGGAGGAGAACAGGGGGAGAGAAACGTAAAGGCACATACAAGATGCGAAGGTTTACCCACGCACAAAAACCATGCAATGAAGACCGGGTCCTAGAGTAGATACTGCTGTGTACACACCAAAACGCCGCACGCAAGTCCGGCCGACGGCAGAACTCCGCCAGATATTGACATGCTACCTTCGAGATCTTTGCACAGGAGCTCGCCTAATACAGCTCCTGTTGATACCACACTAGTCTAGACTAGTCTACAGGTACATCTCACCTGTCTCATCCGTGTTGTGCACGTGGTCGGCCTCCGGCTTGAGGTCCTCGAGGAGAGCTGCCCACTTCCTGTAGAACTCTACGATGCGAGGTTCGCTCTCATCGGTGACTCTGTTGGCCTCGTAGATGCGAGTGGTGCGCTCCCTAACCCGCGGGTGCCTTTCGAGGAAGCCAGCTAGCCAATCCTTCCCCGGGCCCTTCTCTGGATCCCACGGGGTCTTGCGGTCCAGGCAGAGCAGTCTTACGGTTTCCAGCAGGTGGAGCCGACTCACAGCTAGGCAGTTACGACCAGCGTACAGCAGACAATCTTCAATCGAATTTTCCTCCTCCTCACTCATGACAGTCCCAGGACCTACTTTTGCATCCATGGCCACCTCTCCATCGAGGCGCCGTTTGAGCGAAAGCCGATCAATATCATAGACCTTAGCAGCCTTCCTAACGGACATGCCACCTCTCACGGCTTCACAAGCCTTCTGGGCTTGCTGTGCGTCCACCCTGCGGCGGCCCATGCTTATCAGCAAAATCAGCAGAAGGCCGAAGATCCGCCGCATCGGCCCCTGCGCTGCTGCTGCTGCTGTATCTCGGGGGTGAATGGTCTAATTGCCACGCTGAGGTGCTCAAACGAAAGCTCTTGGCTCTCCGCATTTTTTTGAATCCGACCTCAAGGGGCTCCGTGAATGTAGTGAGAGGTACCCCGATTTGAAAAAAAGTGGTTCTTAATACCCGGGTGGTTCTTAATACCCGCCGCTACTCTAGACGGGATCGGTTCAGCGTTCTTCGGCGAATCCACCCAGTCGAACACGTAATGTATGTATAGCGACTTGCCCTGGTCGCTGAAGCTTTCTTTCCAGAGTGCTCCCTCCGTGCCGTTGACCGCTGCGTCTTAGCTTGCGGGATAAGCAGGCCTGTAGCCCGCCTCACCGGGGCGACCAGTCCCGATGTTTCCGAGCACAGTACCCGTCAACAGGGCATGCTCGGTCCGCTCGTACGCTTCCTCCGTCGTATGCAGATTCATCCTCTCCCATGCGTTGGAGACCCTGCCGCTCCGACGTAGGTTCGAATCCCCCATTTGGGGTCCCGATGGCGTTGGCGTTTCTTCTTCTTCTTCTTCTTCTTCTTCTTCTTCTTCTTCTTCTTCTTCTTCTTCTTCTTCTTCTTCTTCTTCTTCTTCTTCTTCTTCTCCTTCTTGTGATCTTTTGGGGCTCCGCCGGCTCCCACAGCCTGTACGTCCTATATTTAGTGTTTCTTCTTCTTCTTCTTCTTCTTCTTCTTCTTCTTCTTCTTCTTCTTCTTCTTCTTCTTCTTCTTCTTCTTCTTCTTCTTCTTCTTCTTCTTCTTCTTCTTCTTCTTCTTCTTCTTCTTCTTCTTCTNGCTAGACTCACCCTCAAGGGATGACCGAAACCTTCTTGCTGCTGCGCATCCGCCGCGAGGCGTGCGTGTGGTGGTGGAGTTGGGTCGGCACTGATGGGATCAGGCGGGAAAATGTAGATGCGCGGGCCTTTCTGGCCGTCGGCGTTGAACGGGGTTTTCGCCTGATTGAGAGCAGAGTATACGATTGAGAGCGGGAGCCAAAAAAATTTGAAATTTCGGGTCCAGACGCCTCTTGCCATATTTCTTGGGAAGTAGGGGGCGGGCTCGAAGAAGCGGCGCAAATTGAAGGTCTCATCAGCAGCGTCACGAGCATATGCGTGTCATCGCGATCGGATGCTGCAGCTAGGAGCTAGATAAGTTGCTAGATTTCCCCAGATTGGCTATTCCTGCCTCAAACTGTTTCAGGGCGATTTGATCGCGGGCGGTGAGCTCTGCTGTAGATTCTGCTCCCC